ATGGTATCCAGTAGACATAAAAAGGCATTGGCAAAATCTCTGATGGTTTTATTAGGCTTAGTAAAGGGTTTGACTATGTATAAGGCTTTCGTGTCGTCTTTAGCATGTACACATATTACAAGCATAAACGAACATGCAAATCTCGGTACGTGATGTGATCGCTGGGGCAGGAAGTTTATTCACCTTACGTTAAGCAGTCAATCACTGATGCAGAAATGTATCATCCCATACACAAATAGTTGCAGTTTTTATAGGATACAGATACACTAGACGACTGCATGTTAACGACAATTAACGGTTCCCCCACTGATAATACGGAAGGCGTCAGAATTCGTGCAACATGCCGATATATGCGAAAGATTGATATCCTTTCGCTAATCGGCATTGTCTCAGGCTGTGATACTGATTATCGTGTAGTCTACCGTGAAGTCATTTCAGCCATGATAGGATGTCGGCTTTTTAACGAGCTTCCCTCTCACCGATGACAACACGTACGTACTGTAAAATGTAACTCAATAAATAGTAGGCGTAGTTATCATTGATTTTAACTGCCTTTATAAATTCACACATATATGATATGTAAAACGTTAACGAAACAATTATGTATTGCACTCGTTTGACAGCAACTTAGGCCTTTATTACATTTTATACTTAAAGAAAGGGTATTTTTCGGTTTTAAAACATTTATAATTATGAGTTTGTTTACGATTGTGAGGTGTTCATTCATAATACATTTTACTTGTCTATTTATTAACGCTGTCTATACTGTATAAAGCTTGCTTCACATCTACTGCAAAAATATATGAGAACTATGTGAACTCTTTCCGAAAGCGTAGATGAAAACATGCTTTTCCTTTAGCAGGATGTGCACAGCGCATAGTTTGTAAACCTTGAATTCGAGTGCAGCAGTCAATAGGTTTCGAAATTGTTTGACAATTTAGCAATTTTTTTCAAATCGAACAATACCCTGTGTTTAAGTATGAAATTTAAAGAAGGTGTAGTTCGCTACCAAACGAGTACAAGAAATTATTTTTTTGTTCACGTTTTTTATAAAATATATTCAAACTTATAAAGGCAGTCAAAATCATTAATACAAAGGCCTACTCTTTAAGTAGTTTGCTTTTAAAGTACATAGGATTTCTTAGCGGTCAGAAAGAAGCTCGTTAAAATGCCCGCATCCTATCTTGACTGAAATTACTTCAGAATCGACTACACGAAAATCAGTCTCACAACCTGAGTCAATATCAATTAGCGAAAGTGTATCAATATTTTTCATATTTCGACATGTTGCATGAATTCTGGCGCATACGGTAGTTGCAGTTTTTTAGGATACAGTCAGTAGGCTACTGCATGCGTGCGACAATTAACAGTTCCCTATTGAGACTTGTTACCCGCTTCTGCGATGCTTGCTCGATGACCGTCGTGCGACTCTTGACCTGGAAGTCGCACAGGAGGTGACATGAGCCGCCCGTTACTTGCGTCATGGTTCACGGGCCCCCACTCTATAAGCAAGTGCAACGGCCTACCTAATGCCCACTCAGTGCTGAAATTTGGTCTGGCCAGAGCAATTCGGCACTCGGGGAACGCACATGTCAACACATGAGCTAGCGCCTGCCTCAGGGAGCCAGATGTCCGAGCAGTCAACATGCCTAAGTCCAGCACAGGTGATGAAAGTTCAGCAGGTCACTGCCCGCACGCCAACCACCAAACAATTAGCGCACAATCGGGGGCAACTATCCTCGACAGGGGAGCCGTTTAGTGCTAAAAGTATACATAAGTAGCATACATTCAGATCTGAGGCGGCGGAAGTTCTCGCAAACCAAAGTGTGTGGCAATTTGCTTGAGTTACTTAATTTGAGAAGTCAAGTTGGCAAACACATGTTTTCAGCAAAACTCCAACAGGCCAAAACATATGCAGGGGTACCGAAAACTGTACAGTTGGGCAGGGTTTATCAGGGTAGTCTGATTACAATTCATCGTTTACACGTCGCCCGCATGGAAAGGCCGGCGTGTAGAGGTTCTTGTGTTGGGGTAGGGGTAGAGGGGGAGGGAGGGAATTGGGTTAAGTCGCGGGCGTTGATCAGAGGATTGATACATAGAGTGATAATTGCTGGTATTTGCAAGAAGCGAGCGACTGTCACTGGAGGGTGGGGGCGAAATGCGATCGACGTCTGTCGTCGGGGTCGGCCACGGAAGTACAAGGGATTGTGTCAGCGTCTTCTGACAAAATAGCACTGTATTCACTAGGCATATAGCCGCCGCTTCGGCTATTGGAAGCACCCGTTAACGCAGACCCTTGGTAAAGTAAGCTGGTGTCCGGTAGACAACCTGAAAGGCTTCGTTAGTATCGACTCGATGATTCATATCGATAAGGTGTGCTAGAATAGAACTTCAGATCGATCTAGCTTTATATTTACTTAACCAGGCCGGTATGTGCTCACGTACCCCCTTTTTTAGGCGCCTCCTTGTTCGGCCAATGTATCTTGCTCCCCAGGAGCAAGTGAAAGAGTAAATGCACATGGATGTGGCTTTCAACGGCAGTCGGTCTTTACCTCCCAGTTGTATGAGGGGGGCATTCGTAAACACCCATAAATTAGCCGCGGGGAAAGGGCTTGCAATTGCGGTCCTCAAGCGTCGTCTGACCAACTTGTTTGTTGCATCGCCCAAGAAAGGCAGTCTTATGAACACGTCTTTATTTTCTGCGCCCCAAGTCCTTAAAAAGCGCAACGACCCAACCAATCCACATTCACTGCTGTGATTCGGTTATTCGCAAAGCGATTCGCTACTCGGGGAACGCAGATGCCAAAGCGTCGGCCAGCGCCAGCGTCAGGGAACCAGATGACCAAGCAAGTTCATTACAGGTAATTAAAAATCAGCAGGTCACTACCCGCACGCAAAATACCAAGATATTAGCGCACAAACGGGCGCTTAGCCTCGTCAGGGGAGCAGAACAGACGACTGTTATGCAGATGTCTCATTATCAGCGGCAGAGGACGCGAATGACGAGACGGCTGCGATCGGCTTTGTAGGTCATTGCTCGATCGCTTTATCCATTGATTAAGTTCGTCACCTGGTCGGCAGACTCGGTAACCAGCAACAGTGTACGATGGGCGCATCTCCGACATTCGATGAAGTTCTTCGCAATGTTCTCTTGCGATCCTTAGGATAATGATAAAAACCGCTACGGGCTCTTCCTAACATGCTTCAAACACTCAGCACAGGCCTTCCGATTTGAATATACTCATCTCCCCCACGGGTGACAGTTTTTCCCCTTAAAATCTCTCAAATGGCTATCAAACCTCTTGAATTTCCGAAAAGTGCCTTAGGAGTTTTTTACTGTCGGCCCTGTCTTACCCAGTTTCATTTACTGGCAACGTCACCCTCTTGAAATGCTCTGCTGAAACAATGCATTGCATAACTGTTCTGTACCAATAAGGAGTTCAAATGTATTCACCTACATTTCCCTTAATAAAACCTGACCCGACCTGGCCTGAGGCGTACGTTTCAATCAAATCACTTCCACCATCCCATATATAAGTTTCATGAGTGACGCAGAAAAAGGGAAGCAGCTTATCTTGATGTGCTCAGCTGCAATGCAAAGACGACGGTTTACTGGAAGGCACCGACCATCACGTAGCTTTCGACAGGTAATGAAACTTAAAGACCCACCACTATGCCAGGAAACATTTGGAGTGATCTATAACATTTGCCGCAGCTGCGTACAAAACATACATGTCGGGGAAACTGCAGGACTTATACAGACGCAAACTGCCGAACAGACGATAACAGTGTGGATACATGACGTCAATTCTCAAGTTGGCGAGACCCGGTTACAAATTCAAATTTTATGAGGCCGTATTTCTCAGTGGAGACGACAAGCGTGTGAGTCGCGATTTCGATAGACAGGTAGGAGGCGTTGCGATCACCGGAATCCTACTTTTACTTGTGTGAGCTTTCGAGCTCTTTCTGGAGTCCATCGTCAGAGATAAAAGGCGTACACAAAATGCGAGCAACAGCTAAAGCACGCAGGGGCCAATCCGCCGTTATGGATGGAAGGGAGGAAGAGGGGAAGCAGGCAGACACCAGTGCCATCAGTCCGGAGATGCCTGTTGCTTGGCTTTTGTTTACGCATTTTATTTCTGACGATGGACTCTAGAAAGAGTCCGAAACCTCAGACAAGTAAAAGCATGATTCCGGTGATCGCAACGCTTTCTACGTCTCTATCTACACACGTACGTGGGATGCGAACATTTGCCTCAAGTCGCGATTTAGTCGAACCATGATTACCGGGCCCTACAATGGCCTGCCCAATCCCTATTCAGTGTTGAGGCTCAATTTTGTCCAAACAAGTTGCCACTTGGGGAAGGCATATGCCAACACGGCGAATGACGTTAGCGTCAGGGAGCCAGATGGCCGACTACTCAACACACCCAAGACCACCACAGATGATGCAATTTCAGCAGGTCACGATCCGGACGCCGGCCACAAAGACATTAGTGTACAAGCGCGCAACTATTCTCGGAGGAGGGGGGGGGTAATTGTCCTAAGAATGAGGTAACCTATCGACTATATCTTGTAAATAATGCGACTCCCTGTGTATGAATTATCACTTTCTGCTATTGTCTCTCGGAGTAGAGCCGCGAAGCATTTCGAAACGTCAGACAAATACATTTATTGTCCCAGCGTTCATACTTGCAGTTTGTCATGCTCATCTTTTAATTTTTTGGCGCATCTACTGAAGGATGTTCCGCTTTTCGGGCGAGAGCATATGTGGTGGTGGTGATGATGGTAACGGTGAAAATAAGGACGAAGGATTTGTGTAGTTGTTTTTGCAAGGAACAATTGCAAGCAGATCATCTGACCGATCGCGGCGACCGTTTTTATCACCGTGCAGCTGGCATTATTCTAAGTGAACACACAGGGGACCGAGAAACAGCGTAATACAACCATACCGACTGTGAAATAAGCATTTTTGTGTCTTTTTTACGTACGCCGTCAGAATGCAAAGAAAAAAGAAGTTTCATGTCACGGGTGCTTTCTTTACATTTCCGGCAGAGTTCATATACGTATTTTCCTCAACAGTCAGTAGCATTTAGTTTTTTTTAAAATTAAACACACTAACTCCGTTTTTACTGTTTGTCTAGAATATTGAAATACAAGATTATGTTGATGCCTTCCTGGTGGTATACGCCGTCGACGATGGATCGACCTACGAATTTGCCCGGCGTGTTCTGTTGGAACTGTGCAAATCTATGGCCAACAACTCGATCCCACCCGCAGGATTCATTTTAGCTGCAAACAAGTTCGATCTCGTACGAAGACGCGAGGTGAACTCCGAGGGTACGTTCAAGTATAGCGGAAGTTTATTTAGGTTTACGTGTTTTATTGATCACGGATTCTGCAGCATATTGTTGCCTAGTCAATAATCAAGGTCTCTCGAGCAGGAATCACACTAATGTATATACATTAGATTCTCTATCTCATGAAACCTCAGTCGAAGACCTGAAATGCCTTTTGATTCGAACAAAGTACTTAAGTAACATTGGTATTCTGATCATTGTACTACCTCATCTTAAGATACTTTAGTCACTTCAAGATGCTAGCTTTTGAACGACCCTTGTTCCGACTACCTGCAATAAGAAAAAAAGTAAAAATAGTCATCTAGGCAGTATGCATTTTTTCATTAAATTTAAATTTCTTGATAGATGTTGATGCATTTTACAGAAAACCTGCAAAAACATGCCTTCTAGTACTCGCCTGTTTACAGAAAGGATATCTTCCGATTAAAGAAACGTTTCTAAATCGTTGAATAATTCTGAACCTTATCAGCCGATACACTTTGAGTTGTAGTTTCAAAGCTACACGTCCTATATTTTCTGTTTGGGAAAAGTACATAGTTCCCCACTGTATGAATAAGGGGTCACATCGTTCTCGACCAATTTTTCGGCGTATGAAAATCGTGTTGAATACATAATATGCAACATTAATAAACTGACGGAAACGAGGTATTATGAAGGAACTTTTCAATATGATGTAACTCTCACAAGTAGAGACTTTTTAAAGCAAAATATATCCTTTCTTCAAACTTATAAAACTTGAAGCAGGCTCAATTTACTACCAAGCGAGTTCAAAAAGTAATATTTGTGCGGGTTATCTTTAAAGTATATTTACATCCATTTGTACATTGAAATTGAAGCATTAAAATTCATATTGCTTAAGAAGCCATTTTGTACAGAGTAAACTTGCTACAGACAGTCAAAAGAGTCCTCATGTGACTGACATATCTTAAATTCAGATTGTATAATAGTCAGCATTACAAAGCATCTTGAATAATTTTTTTCGAATCGAAAGCACATTTTAGGATTTCGGTTGGTATTTAATGAGAGAGGGAATCTACTCTATTTAAGTATACACAGAACGAAATGTATTATTGAAGAACTTAGGAAAGAACATTTGTTTACAAAATTATTTTCTATTTGATTGTTTACCACCGCCGTTTCTGAGATTTTTCATTCACGTATTAAGGGTGATCAAGGCTAATAGTGACCTAAAAAATTGATTTTTTCCCATTTATTTCGATTATATGCTGCGTGCCAAAATTTGTTTAAAAAAATTATTTTTTTGTTGACGACGGAAAAGTCGGCTTAAGTGGTGTGTCCGAACTGAAAATTCTCTCGGGACCGCCAAGAAACGTGATCTTCTCAAAAGAATGTACACGCCTCTATTCTTAACCAAAACTGCGATGTATAATTTAATATTGCCGTCTGTTTTAAATGTTTTATAGTGAAAACGGTGGAACCCGACGCCAGCAACAGATGGTTGTGGACCAAGCAATCTTCCTAAACGCTCAATTCATAGATGCAAAATGAGAACTCAAAACTCGAAACATTAAATATCACTTCAGAACTTTCTTTTAGCAAACCTGCTGATAACACTAACCAGCATTCACAATTTCGCTAAATGGTTACGAAAAATAGAAAAAAACCTTTAACAAGATATGGGTTCTAGATTGCTGCCGATAGCATTGGAAGCATATAGCAGCAAGCAATGTCGGGCGGGACAAATGTAGGTTTTTGGAAAGTACAAACTGCCAACTCATGACACTTTACATCCGGCACGTTATCACAGATACTGACATGTTCTGATAAAAGCAAATTGGTGATACCTAGGAAACAATTCCGAAGAAGTAAGTATGATTGCTAGCACGGTTGCTTGAAGTATTATATATCCCCTATTATTTTGTATTATTAACAAGCTCTATTATAATGTATTCGTTGACCTTATTTGCCACTATGTTTTAATGAGATTTTCTTTAAGCTAAGCTTTAGCTTGGTTGGTGTCTATTAGTGATATAAGTCCTCTTTGGGGAAAAATAATTGGATAGGGACAGATGAAGGAGTTTACTATGTTGCTAACGGCCACCTTAACCTTCTTGCTGTTTCGATTTTCTTATAGGTTGATATCTTTACTCATATTATGGTCCGATATCTTTTGGTTTGACGCAAATAGCATAATTTTCTTTAATGTAATTCTGCAGCGCCTTATGTTTCTTATATGCAAGCTCGTTTTTGTGCGCATTTTGTAAAAGTGGGTTGAATGTTTTGTTCATAGTTTACCAGTCCTTATTTCTAACGACCAACGAATCTGTGATCTAGTTGCAATTTTAAAGATTGCGCAAACAGCAAAATTAAGTGGATCCATAAATAACAAGAGGGCTTACCAGCTGCTCCGTCTCGTTGCATACCATGCATAACGTAAAAGAAATACAAAATTGAATTCATACAAAAAAATCGATGTAAACAGCAAGGCCATCGAAAATGGCCAAGAAGGCCTATAAATAACTTAAAAAAGATAAATCACTGTGGGCAGCAAACGTCAGGTAAAACGTAGTAAGCAAAAAATTCGAAAAGAAAATGTGTACTCAAGAAGCCGGCGTTACCACTGCAGATTTAGGTTTACCACATGCTCCGGGTATTTAAATAGGTCGAATTTAAATCGCAGGCTGCCTCCAGGTAGCGTAAGGTAGGAGGTGTTTTTTTGCCCGAACAAGTGTTTAGAAAGATGAATGAGGAACGAAGAGTTCAGTTTTCTCGTTTTAAAAACCAACTAGGTATGTGCTCTTTGGCTTTGGCTACTAATTCCCATTGCGTTCGCCCTAAGTACTTGCATTCGAAAGTGCACTGTGTACAATGGCAAGGCATCCTTTGCACAAGGAATCGGAAAGGGCTCATTTTCATTACACAATATGCGCTCAGCAACACCAAATGTCCTTTCAGTGACGTTAAGTAAGTGTCTCTTGATGGTATTCAAATTGCTGCCGCCCAAAAAGGGCAAGGATACGAAGGCAGACCTTTTCGAACCTTACTGTTCCGTCATTTTGGGCTCTCTGATTACACACTTCCCTTTCCAAAACTTTTCTTGGATGTTGTTGCCCCATCTGTGCTGCCCACAGTGTTTTAATTTTCCTAAGTTATCGATAAGCCGCTTGGTCATTTTCGATGCCCTTGCTATTTTCATTGATTTTTCTGTATGAATTCAAATTTGTGTTTGCTCTCACGTTATTAACTTTACGCAATGAAAGGAAGAAGTTTATGAGTGCTCTGAACATTTATGAATCCAATAAATTCTGCTGTTTATGCACTCTTCAAAATTGCACCAGGAAAAATATGCCTCAAAAATCTAGTTGCTCGGTTTCTTAAATAACTATCAGGGGTGTAAGCAAAAAGCAGTCACAAAATCGTTTGAACATATTTTCACAGGTCTTCCGAGCCGCTTTTTGTGTACAATTCGTTTTCACTTTGGATATCTCTCTTAATATTCGCTAAATGTTGCCGCCTGAAATACTTGACTAAATTTTTCTATTTTAGACATCATGCTGGACTTTGAACTGTAAAGTTGTCGTGCTCGGGATCACTGTTCATGCCTTTTGTTTCTTATTCACCCATGCCTAGCGCACCGTATTCTATTTTCGATCAGAAATAATTCAGGAAACTAGCAAAGATGACTTGAATAGGCAAAAATATCGACTTTTAAAAGTCTGTCTCAAAATGCTCACCTACTGTTATCTCCTTTGTCTGACAGTAGAGATAGGTGTGAAGACCATCAGCTCGACCCTTTAAATAAAATCTACCATGTTGAGCATCAGAAAAAGAAAGCTGTAAAAATGCACAACGTTGTGCTAGGATTCGTTCACCATCCACGCCGCCAAACATTTAAAAGCATATCTTATATTTATTTAATTTATGAATATGCGATCAGGCACACTGCGCGACCAGATGAATCATATTTGTGAATCTTTTTTTTTTCAATCCACAGATGCCCGGCAATTCGCAACCGCTCATAACGCAAAATTCCTCGAGATCTCCGCAGCTCTGGGTCACATGATCCCAGAACTCCTGCTCACTGTCATAACCCACCTTTGTGAACTGGATGAAAGCAAGGCAGGGGCCCGGGGAGCTGAAAACCATTCTCAACACCATAATACGTCCACATCTTCCCCCTCTTCACCCCATAAAGCCGTTGCTGCCAGACGCGATCTGGCTAGTTCAACGAACGTCTCATCAAAATCAACGACAAGCGCTGCTACCGGCGCTAACAGTTGCAGTCCTGGAGTAGTCTATGTTTCCAAAACGGCCAGCAATAAGGGGAGTCTGGCAAAGTTTTTCAAGAGACATTTTACAAGATCAAGCACTGGCTTCGATGGTATAGAGTAATGGAGATTCTACTTACCAACAGAGATACTGGACCGCTGTGCTGTGTTATGTATTCTTTTCGTTCACTAAAATAAAGTAATTTATTTGCGCACAAAATATATGTAAATATATATATCTATATTGCAATACCTCGATCACTTACAGGATGTGTTTCGGAACACCATTTGTGATGCAGGAGGAAGCACGATTATTTTATGTAATTTCCTACAAATGATTATCCCTAGAGTTTATCCTATATGTGCTAATCCAGGTCTTGTGTCCAAATTTCTATCATGAAATTCAAAGTGACTTTAATAATGTACCGTTAAAAGAGAAAAGTTAAGCCAAATAGATATTCTTCACACTAACTCAACTAGATTACGATACACCTACGTCACCCATAAGCGAATTACTTCGTTGTTATGTTGCAACGAAACCAGGTAACGAATGGAACTGTTAATGTGCCGACCACATTTTTTATATCCTATTGTCCAAAGGGTAAGCTAGATAAAAGACACGTGTCACAGAATTCATATAACAAGGGAACATCGGAATAAATTAAAGGCCATATTTATGTCCTCTGCGTAAAATGTTAGGTATTCAAGTATGAGAACGTAGGTAAGGTGAAATTATAAGTTGCAATAAATAACAAAAAAAGAGCAGAATTAAGAGATATACAGTATGGCGAGCGCTGCATGAAGCGTTCCGCAATTTGAAAAAGACTGGTAATCTGAGTTGACCCAAGTGTGAAAAACTCTAGGCGTTTGACGGGATTTGAACCCG